TTGTTGGTTTTGTGGGTGTGAGAGCCAGGAGTTATCTTCAGTACTCGGGCTGCATGCGCCTAGGGCTGCCTTCCCTAGGTGCCCTGTAAGTACTGCCCTTGGGGCTTGGGGCCACCTTCCACAGGCTCCTTGGGGTCTGCCTCTGCTGGTCCGTTTTACCTTTCGGTTTTTCGGCCGCCTGTTGGGCTCTTGCGTGTTCTGTTCTCCCTTGTTACCGGCAGGTAAGAGGCAGTTTGCACTGGTTGGGGCGCAAGGTGCTGCTCAGCTTGTATTCCCGACAACGCGGCCTGCGGTGGCGTTGGGTGGCCCCTCCCCCCTTTGGGGGGTCGGGGCTGGCGGGGCAGGTTTCTTCCCCCTGCGCTCTGTTGAGTCGTCTTGGAGTGGGTATGCTTGGGCGTTGTCGAAACGACGTCGTCCCTCAGATGGGTTTCCCGTCTGTTTCCGGTTCCGAAATGGGACTGCGCGGACCTGCAGTTCATTCTGGACTTGTCCCGTCTGAACCCCTGGGTTCATTGCCCCTCCTTTCGGATGACTACGCTGTCTCAGGTTCGGCTCCTCTTGGAGCCGGGAGCTTGGATGGTGTCCCTGGACCTCTGGGACGCTTATTGGCATGTCCCAATTCATCCACAGTTCAGGGACTGGCTCGGTTTTGTGGGGGGGCGTCTGAGTTACTGCTTTCGTTGTCTCCCATTCGGGTTGAACCTGGCACCTCGCGTGTTCACGCGCCTTACACGGGTTGTGGTGGCTCGTTTGCGTCTCCTAGGTGTTCGGGTGTTGGCCTACCTCGACGACTGGCTGGTTTGGGCTCCCAGCCAGTCAGCTTGCTTGCTAGCCAGGGATTTGGTTCTTTCCCAGCTCGCCGAGTTCGGGTTCTTGGTGAACTGGAGGAAGTCCCATCTGGTTCCCTCTCAGGTTCAGACTTGGCTGGGTCTCGTTTGGGACTCTCGAACCGCCTCCTTGTCTCTCCCTCCGGAGTCTCTCCTGCGGCTGCAGTCCCGCTTTCGTCTGTTTCTGGAGGGTCCTCGGGTCACCCGGCGGTTGCTCGAGGGGCTGTGTGGGAGCCTGAACTTCGCGATGGTGGTCTACCCGCCGGGTCGGGTTTGGCTTCGACGGCTATTCTGGTTCCTTCGGGGTTCCCCCTTCCGCCTCTCTCGCGATCGCAGAGTTCGACCCCCGGGGGCCTTGCGTCGGTTGCTGCGTCACCGGCTTCCTCTTCGGGTTTTTCGGGGTTCAGTGCCTTGGCGCCTACCCGAGCCCTCACTCGATGTGTACACGGATGCGTCGTCTCTCGGCTGGGGTTTTGTGACCAGTGCTCACCCAGCCGGCCAGGGGCGTGTGGATCCGTCCTTCCGTCGAGCTCACAGCACGGTGCGGGAGTTCGCGGCAGTGTGGTTTGCTCTGAGGAGGATTCGGGTGGCCCGCGGATCGACGATTCGGCTCCATTCGGACTGCTCTCCGGTGGTTCATTGCCTGAACCGCGGGGGTTCGATGCAGTCCTTGTCTCTTTGGGGTTGGTCGCTTCGGGTGACTCGTCTGCTGAGTTCTCGAGGTTTGGCTCTCCTGGCGGTTCACGTACGGGGCGTGTCCAACGTCTTGGCCGACGCCCTGTCTCGCTTTGTTCCCCTCTCCACGGAGTGGACGGTCGACGACGAGTCCTTCCGTTGGCTTTGCCAGACGTTCAGGCGCCCCGAGGTGGACCTCTTTGCGTCGGCGTGGTCGCGGCGTCTTCCCGTTTATGCGGCGCCCTTCCCCGATCGCGAGGCCGTCGGGGTCGATGCCTTTCGGCTAGACTGGTCGAGGTGGGGGTTCCTGTACCTCTTTCCCCCGGTTCGGCTGTTGCTCCAGGTCCTGACTCGCTTAGAGACTTACCAGGGGAGAGTTGTCCTTCTGGCCCCTTGGTGGCCGGCCCAGCCTTGGTTTCAGGCGCTGGTTATCTTGAGATCTTGAGATGATTTCGGGGCTTTAGTGTCCCCGCGGCCCGGTCCTCGACCAGGCCTCCACCCCCAGGAAGCAGCCCGTGACAGCTGATTAACTCCCAGGTACTTATTTACTGCTAGGTAACAGGGGCATTCAGGGTGAAAGAAACTTTGCCCATTTGTTTCTGCCTCGTGCGGGAATCGAACCCGCGCCACAGAATTACGAGTCCTGCGCGCTATTCACCAGGCTACGAGGCCCCCTTTACCTGGTTGCTCAGTGTCCGAACCCGAGGGTTTTCCCGCGGCTCCGCCTCTTTCAGCAGATCGGGCCAGTGCGTCACGTGGCTGGTTCGATCTTCTCCTCGAGTCTTCGCGTATGGGTTTTTTGACTCGAGTATATCATCATCTCTATGGTGATCAGGTGGCCTCCTTGTTGGTGTCCCACCTGAGGGCTTCTTCTCGGCGGCAGTATGAAGTTTCCTGGCGGTCCTTCCGTTTCTTTTTGCGTCTTCGTCGTGTTAGTTCCTTGTCTGTTCGGTTGGTCTTGTCCTTCCTCTCGTGATTGTTTCAGGACCGTCATCTTATGCCTAACACTGTCGCCTCATATCGTGCGGCGCTGGCGGAGCCGCTTCAGCTTGCTTTCGGTATCGATGTTACGTCTGCGCCGTCTTGCAAGCTGTCTTGTGCGTTGTTTCACCTCCGGCCTGCTCATGCGTCGCCTGAGCCGTCCTGGTCTTTGGACAGAGCGCTCGCTTTCCTTTCGTCTCCTCGTTTCGTTGTGGCCCCTTCGGTCCAGGATTGTTTTTCCAAGGCACTTTTCTTGTTGGCTTTGGCCTCTGGGGGTCGGGTAGGGGAGCTTCATGTTCTCCTCCAGCGCAGGGGTTTCTACTCTTTTGGTCGTGGTGATTGTTTTGTTCGTTTGCAGCTGTCTCCTTCTTTTCTGGCGAAGAATGAGACGGCTGCGTTCCGGAGGGGTCTATGGGTGGTTGATGCTTGGTTGGTCAGGCCGGGGGTGCATCATGTTTTGTGTCCGGTTGCGGCGCTTCACCATTATTTGCGCGCCACGGCTTCTGTGTCCGGGGACGCGCTGTGGGTTGATCCGGTTTCCCTTCTTCCCTGTTCGCGGGTTCGGGTCTCTCAGGTCGTCCGCAGGGTTATTAAGTCCAGCCAGCCTGCGGTCTATCCCCGTGCCCATGACGTTCGTAAGTTCGCGGCTCTTGCTGCCGTCTTTGGGAATATGTCTTGGTCTGATATTCGGGCGCGGGGATTTTGGCGGTCGAACAGGGTCCTGGCTGCTCGTTACCTTGTGAATGTCCCTGGGCCCCGTCGGGCCTGTGTTGCTTTGGGTCGGCGGTTGCAGCCAGTTGTCTCGGCTTCGAGTTGAGGAGTGAGCGACGACCGCCTCCCTGGTAAGTCCCTCTTTTTCCGTCTGTGGGTAGTTAGCTCCAGGGAGCCGACGGGGCTCCCCCCAGAAAACCAGCGTTGAATGTAATGAAACGCTATTTTCTGGGTGAGTCCCGGAGGCTCCCCGGCATCCCTCCCTCCCTCCGGTCGGCGTTTTTTTGCGTTTTTGACATCCAGCCTCAAGAACTGAGGTGTGGGTAGCCGGCGTGGGGGTCTGGGGCTTCCCCTTCCCCCTCCCGGGAGGGGGGAGCTGCGCAGACAGCGGCGCAGCGGTGTGTGATGTCATACTAGTTTGCTTGTTTTCGGTTGGGGAGTTCTATCTACTAGTTCGGCTTTTGGTAGCAATTTTAACCAGAATAGGGGTTTGTTTTGAGGCGCTTACCTTTCTGGGTGCCTGTTCCGGTCGATGGCAGACATAGAATGCTTACAACCACACGGGGGCTTCTATAGGCCATTGCTTCCCTTGCCTCTCTGAGGGGGCCCGGTTCTGGCCGTGGTCCCCGGTAGGCCTAAGAACTCCATACACATGACTGATGCCAAAGTCTGACATTAGCATATCAGCCTGGGATAGCTCCGGGGAGCCTCCGGGACTCACCCAGAAAATGGCGTTTCATTACATTCAACGCTGGTTTTTTGCAAGATGGCTGCCTCTCACTGGAGGTCCTAAGACTCCATTTCGTACACAACCAGGCAAACAGTCTCCGTGCTGTAGTGGTAAGATACTCGCCTGGCATTCCGCAAGCGCTTTGTCATGGGTTCGTATCCTGGCCGGGGAGGATTTACTGGGCGCAAATCCTTAACTGTAGCCTCTGTTTAACGCAACAGTAAAATGTGTACTTGGTTGTAACAATGATTCTTCGCGGTGGGGATCGTATTCCAGGGACCTGCCTGAAACGCTACGCGTACTAGTGGCTGTACAAGAATGTAACAACGCTTGTATATATACAAAAAAAAAAAACTTGCACACATTTAGAATGGGTACGGAAAAATCAAAAAGAGTTTTCTCGGTTGGCACAGTTTCCTGTCGACCGAGAATACTCAACTGGCGTAGTTAAGTGGTTAAGGATAGATGAGAAACTAATAAAGCATTACCCGGGCAGGGCAAGATACATAGCATCTGATTTTAGAAAGAATGACAGCTGTTTCAATTTCTTTTTTGCTATTCTGTATTTAGTACAAGGTACTGGCAATTCAAATTATATAAGAGAACGTCAAGAAATTTATCATCCCTCTGTTTTTTTTTTTTTTTTAGTTCAGTATTCACTGTGATATTCAGAATAAGAGTCTTAGGACTGGAAGAAATGAAGGTTGTCATGAGCAAATAGAATTGCTTGAGATTTTGAGAGGTAATGATGTAAATGAGAGAGAGGTGCTACCAAGCTGTAATGGCATAGTGCATGTTTAACTAATATTTAAATGTATTAACAGTTAAATTCTGTACTGTAACTGTATATCTGAATCTATGAACTCTCCATATTTTGGACATAATTGAAATTTCTTGGATTTTAAATGAGATTTGTTATGTGAGTCATGCTAATGATTATGTTTCTGTAGGTAATGTGTTATATGTGAATGGTGGATGAAATTTTTAATATTGTTAAAAAATAGCTATATAATGTTTCACTTTGCTAGGCATTTTGGTTTTCCAACTTTATCCATTTATGCTTTCATTTTTCACAGGTGGATCAGCTGTGTTTGGCTTTGTTGGTCACACTTACTATGAAAGTCATGTAATTACCACTCCTTTCACTAAACGCAGAAGATTTATGATATTCAATCAAGATCAGCTTCATACTATTGCAAAGCAAATTTATGAAGAGGTAATAAATATGTATAATTACAAGGTTTGTTGTGTATGTACTGTTAACTTTGTGTTAGTGTGTTCTTAAAGTCTCAAATATCTCTGGCAAAATAATGGGCTCGAATCACTCTCATTCATATGGAAACATTCAAAAGCATCCAATTCTTATGAAACTTTGTTTACAGTATTTAACCTATAAGACAAATCTCCAGCCCAAGTTTCAACATTATAATTTGAGAGGAAGCAGAAAAAATGGCAACATTTAACCCTTAAACCGCACACATTTTTTTATATAGAATTTGAGTAAATGTCACCAAACCGCGCACATTATATATATACAATTGAGGGTGCCACTCACGATTTAAATGTCCCGCTGCTACACGGTGTTCACATCAGCTTCCTCAGGGCTCTAGTAAACAGACACCATTTCTGGGGGGAGCCCTGTTGACTCCCCTGGAGCTATCCAGACTGGATGGATATGTATATCTGTCTGGCATCAGTCAATCCATGGAGTTCTGCCTACTAGGGACCACGAGCCAGAACCTGGCCTCCTCTAGAGAGGCACGAGGAGCAATGGTTTATAGACCCCCCCCCTATGCCCCTGTTACCTAGCAGTAAAATAGGTACCTGGGTGTTAGTCAGCTGTCATGGGCTGCTTCCTGGGGGTGGAGGCCTGGTCGAGGACCGGGCCGCGGGGACACTAAAAAGCCCCAAAATCATCTCAAGATAACCTCAAGATAACCTCAAGATAACCCCTGTAGTTGGGAGCATTCTGTGTCTGCCATCGTTCAGGACAGGCACCCAGAAAGGTAGGCACCCCAAAACAAACCTCTATTCTGGTAAAATTATTGTGACCGAAAGCTGAACAGGTGGACAGAACTCCCCAAACGAAATTTAGCAAACTAGCATGACGTCGTCATGTCGCCGCGCCTCTGTCTGTGCAACCCCCCCCTCTTCCCGGGAGGGGGTTAGGGGGAGCCCCAGACCCATCCGCCGGTGACCCAACCTACAGTTCTTGGCTGATGGAAGTCTGGTGCAGTCGTGCCTCTGGCTCCGGTTTTTAGTTGCAGTTCTGTACCTTGTGGTGTGGGCTGTCCCTTCAGGTGGTGCAAGAGCTGTGAGTGATATTCCACGGTACTCGGGCTGCACGTGCCTAGGGTCTCCTTCCCTAGGTGCCCTGTAAGTACTGCCCTAAGAGCTTGGGGTCCACCTTCCACAAGTCACCTCGGGATCTACCTTCGCTGTGCCGTTTACTGTTCGGTATTTGGCCGCCTTTGGGGTCAGCTGGGTTTTTTCTTACCCTTGTTTGTCTCTGGGTAGGGGATAGTTTTTGTCACTGGCAGGGGTGCAAGGTACTGCACAGCTAGTTTTCACCATTAACAGGGGCCGGCTCTGTTCCGCTTGGGTATGCTGTCCTCTTGCAAGGTTTTCCTTTTGTTTTTGTTTTCTGCCTTGTGGGGGGGGGGGGGAGTCTGCTGTTATCATCCCCCATCGCTGTTCTTGGGGGTGTCTTTATCTCTCCCTTTGTGTGGGTGGTCCTCCTCGCTTGGCCCCCGTGAGTGGACACGTCCTGGGGGTTCAGCTTTAGGAGTTTTGTTGGTAGACTTGGGCAACGGTTCGCAGTACTCTGCCTGGGCTTTCCTTAGCGTGTTACCAAGGCTAAGGGCCCTGGGAAACCCCATGGGGGCTACGTGGTCCGATGGATGTGACCCCGGAGTCCCCTCTCGCGTCTTGCGAGTTTGAAGGTAGCTCTGTCCCCTTGTCTCAGGGTGACACTCACCGGTTTTGCCTCCGCCATGCTGCCAGTTGGGTCGGTGATTGTTTTGACCTGGAGTCGTGCGACGTGTGTTGTCTGTTCGTACTCCAGTTCACCCAAGCTACTGATGATGATATGCGGGTGCAGGTAGCTAAGGCGTTGCATGCTAGATATAGGTTGCTGCAACGCGCTTAGTTAGTTGCGGCCCTGGATGCCCTGTGACTGCCCCATTTTGGTTATAGGGACCCGGACTTTGGGGTGGGAGTCCCTTCGCCTCTGGTTCCGTCTGCACCTCCTATTCCTTCCCGTCTGTAGTTCGATATCCCCCCCCCCCCCTTGCTTCCGGCTCCGAAGTGTCTGAGGGTTTCGGAGTCGGGGCAGGGTCTAGTTGGTGTTGAGACTCGGGCGGTCTTGGGGGTGTCCACTTTTGGGGTTGTGGCAGAGGCATTCGAGCCTGGTCCTTCTGCTGGAGCTTCTGGGTCTGGCCAGTGGGCCCCCTTCATTCCTGCTTTTACGGCAGCTTCTGCCTTTTCTTTGGAGGTGGGGGGGGGGGGTTTGGAGGCCGGCTTGGCCCCGGGTTCTCAGGGTGAGGTTCCCGGGGATGGGAAGGGGTTGGCTTGGGGCCTTGGGCCCCGTTGGACCCCGTCTGGGTTTTTCTGCCTTGCGAGCTAGGTGCTTGGCTTGGGGCATGGTGTTACAAGGAGAGGGGTTCTCTTTTGCTCCCTCCGCGTACGAGTTGGATTTGGTCCAACTCGTACTCGATGACTGTCCTCGGACTGGCTTGAGTTGGATGTGGGGGTGCTTGGGGCTGCTGCTGGGTCCGGTGTGCTACCTTCCACTGTGCAGGCATCGTCTGCTTTGTTGAAGCTCTTCGCGCCACTCCTGCGTGATGTGGTTTCGCAGTTCTATGCTTCTCGCCTCGCATGGAGGCAGGTGGTGTTGGCTTCTTCCTTAGATTCCGCATGGGCCTTGACTCTTCGCTTGTCTTTGCCTTTTTGTCTGTTGCTGTTTGCTGAGTCTGCTGTGGTGCAGTCCCTGCAGGCGGCTTTGGTTTGTTGTCGGCCTATGAGTTGTTGTTGCCCCGGGGACTCGTGGGGGGGCCTTCCCGGAAGGGCTTGGGGATCTGGTTGATACCTGGTTGATGGGGTTCTGGGAGTTCTTCTGCTCCCCAAGCCTGGCCCGAGGCCAGGCTTGACTTGTGAGAGTTTGGTCCACTAGGCTGTTGCTTGGAGCGGCCCGCAGGGCCACATACCCACCACAGCCCAGTTGGTCCGGCACTCCTTGGAGGAATAAATCTAGTTTCCTCTTGAAAATGTCCACGGTTGTTCCGGCAATATTTCTTATGCTTGCTGGGAGGGAGTTGAACAACCGGGGACCTCTGATGTTTATACAGTGTTCTCTGATTGTGCCTATGGCACCCCTGCTCTTCACTGGTTCTATTCTGCATTTTCTTCCATATCGTTCACTCCAGTATGTTGTTATTTTACTGTGTAGATTTGGTACTTGGCCCTCCAGTATCTTCCAGGTGTATATTATTTGATATCTCTTTCGTCTTCTTTCTAGTGAGTACATTTGGAGGGCTTTGAGACGATCCCAATAATTTAGGTGCTTTATAGTGTCTATGCGTGCCGTATATGTTCTCTGTATTCCCTCTATTTCAGCAATCTCTCCAGCTCTGAAGGGGGAAGTGAGTACTGAGCAGTACTCAAGATGGGACAACACAAGTGACTTGAAGAGTACAACCAGTGTGATCGGATCCCTGGATTTGAAAGTTCTCGTAATCCATCCTATCATTTTTCTGGCTGTCGCAATATTTGCTTGGTTATGCTCCTTAAACGTTAGGTCGTCAGACATTATTATTCCCAAATCCTTTACATACTGTTTTACTACTATGGGTACATTTGATTGTGTTTTGTACTCTGTATTATGTTTAAGGTCCTCATTTTTACCATACCTGAGTACCTGGAATTTATCACCGTTAAACGTCATGTTATTTTCTGATGCCCAGTTGAAAACTTTATTAATATCAGCTTGAAGTTTTTCAATGTCTTCAGCCGAGATCATTTTCATACTGATTTTTGTGTCATCTGCAAAGGATGATACGAAGCTAAGACTTGTATTTTTGTCTATATCTGATATGAGAATAAGGAAAAGCAGCGGTGCAAGGACTGTACCCTGAGGTACAAAGCTTTTAACTGCACTTAGACTAGATTTTATATGGTTGACCGTTACTCGCTGAGTCCTGTTTGACAGAAAACTGAGTATCCAGGGTCCTATTTTACCGGTTATTCCCATTGACTTCATTTTGTGTGCTATCACGCCATGGTCACATTTATCGAAAGCCTTTGCGAAGTCCGTGTATATCACATCAGCATTCTGTTTTTCTTCTAATGCCTAGTGACTTTGTTGTAGTGCTCAAGTAGCTGTGAGAGGCATGATCTTCCCGCTCGAAATCCATGTTGGCCTGGGTTGTGAAGGTCATTGGTCTCCATGAAATTGGTAACCTGACTCCTAATCACTCTCTCAAATACTTTTATGATGTGTGATGTTAGTGCAACTGGTCTATAATTTTTTGCCAATGCTTTGCTCCCTCCCTTGTGTAGAGGGGCTATGTCTGCTACTTTAAGTGCATCTGGTATCTCTCCCGTGTCCAAACTCTTCCTCCACACTATACCGAGTGCCTGTGCTACCGGCACTTTGCATTTCTTTATAAATATTGAATTCCATGAATCTGGACCTGGGGCCGAGTGCATGGGCATGTTTTCAATTTCTCTTTCAAAATTTAGTGCGCTCGTGTTGATATCAGTTATGTTTACAGGGTTTTGAATATCCCGCATAAAGAAATTGTCTGGATCTTCCACTTTCATGTTGTTTATTGGAATGCTAAACATGTCCTCATACTGCTTTTTTAGGATTTCACTAATTTCTTTGTCATCCTCCGTGTATGAACCTAAACTTGTACGAATATGTCCAATACTGGCAGTGGTTTTTGCTTTTGATTTCGCATATGTGAAGAAATATTTTGGATTTTTCTTTATTTCCTGAATTGCTTTCTGTTCTAACTGCCTTTCTTCAGTTTCATACGAGTGTTTCAATTTCCGCTCGATTTCTTCAATCTCCCTATTTAAATTGTTCCTTCTTTGACGGGAAATTCGTGTCTGCATAAGCAGTTCCGTTATTTTTTTCCTGCATTTATAGTGTCATCTGCGTTCTCTTTCTACGTTGGATCTCTTTCTTGGTTTCCTCAAAGGAACATGTTTCAG